AAACAACTCTGAAACGGGATAAACATAATACATCTTGACATTAAAAAAATTGAGATTCTAAAAATATATGACATCTAAAAAACATCAGCTTAAGAAATACATAAACGTCCACTGGTACTACTGATGGCCAAGTTTCCTCCAACCGCACCACTTTCACACTGTTGCTGGGTCGAGCAACCGCGCACTCATGTTAGGCAAGCATCAACCTTCGAGAGCCTCCGTCAGTGCGGGCCTCGGGCGTTGCGCTGCCGCTCGTAGCCCGACCAAACTGGACCTCCATATATCCAAAATTGAAAGGTAATTTCTAAAAAAGAAGAGACGAGGTTGAGAGAGAGAGAGGGGTAACTTCGGTTGTCGTGAGAGTCGGTTTCTTGGAACCTTTCAGATCTCGAATTTTCTAAAATTGAAGCTTCTTTTGGATGACCTTATGCTCGAGTGCTTGAAATTGAGACATTCGACGAGATCAGTAGCGTATTAATCTTGTTTCGTCTTTAGTGTTGACGGATTTGGCCTCATTTTTCTTTTTCTTGGCCATTGAAAATTTATGGAGTCTGTAGTGGTTTTCTTTTGCTTTTAGGGAAGATAAGTTCTTGCAATTTTTCTTGTGAAGATGTTACACGACAACCGAGATTGTGAGAGAGAAAAGCAATATTTTGTTATTGATTTAGTGTTATGTGTGCAAGGAAAGAGAATATCTCTTCTCCCGATTATCATGCAATGAGATAACCACCCTCCTTATTTATAATTTTCTTTAATTAAATACATAGTTCGTAATTGTGATGAAAAGATGAATATATCGTATTTTTAATATTATTTAGTAAATCAAGAGTAAGAGGCGTAATTTTCTCAAAATTATATCCTGTACGATCAAATTCAAATTTATTTGCATAAATAATCCCCTTTTATATTTATTAGCATATATACCAACATAAGCAACAATAATTGCACTTTTACTAGAATTTGATCAGATCTCATATCTTAAATTAATTATAAATTTACCAACTAATTAATGGTATGATGATTATCATTACCAAAAAACGGTCCC